TAACCTGTATTTTAAATTTGGTTTTTAAAATATATTTTTATTGTAATTTTACTGGTGTTAGCTGCCCTGAGCCCGGCTCTGGCCGGGGAGGGCGGGGTATAAATAAAATATCATATGTGTGTGTGTGTGTGTGCATGCCAAGGCCCCAATCTATGCATGAGATATTTATTGTGTTTCTGTTTACATTATACTAATTATTTCTAAATGTGCGCCTAAAAATATAAATCACCATATGCAAATTCTATGCAAATCTATGTCTCTTTTGATATTACAATGCCTAAGTGGCTGCCCTACCCCTAGACCTATGAAGTGATCTTCCTTTTCCCAAAGGGAAGGGCTCTTATGAGCTTCTTTAGTGGGGAGCAGCAGCACAATTCTCTCTTGCCTTTCCTTTGCATATCAGCTGTGAATGGCAGTGTGGTACAGTGGTTTGAGTGTTGGACTAGGACTTTGGAGACCAGGGTTCGATTTCCCCATTCAGCCATGAAGCTCACTGGGTGACCTTGGGCCAGTCACTCACTGTCACCCTAACCTACCTCAGAGTTCTTGTGGGGATAAAATGGGGAGGAGCAGAACTATGTATATCGCCTTGAGGTCATGGGAGTAAAGGTGGGATAAAAAGATTTTTATCCCCAAAGTTGTCTTCTGCCACCAGTATAGATATTCTAAGCCAGATATTCACACTCACCACAAAGATGAGGTATCTAATAACCACTGACACTAAAGCAAAGATCTCAGTTTAGCTGAAATCAAAGCATGGAGTTAAATCACCCCAGAAGCCAGCTGTCTCAAGGCAAGCAATGCAACCTTCATGCTTCATCACCATTCTAGAGATCGATGCATATTTTCCAGACACTTCCCCTCCCTCTTCTACAAGCATAAGTGCCGCCTGTCCTGAGATTTTCTCAAGCATTTAAGCAGAGACTTGATGAGCTGGCTGGCTTCTGATGACATCTCAGCGGGTTGCTGACCCTACAATTCATCGATCCAAGATTGAAGGTGGGTTTTTGCAAGCTGCTGCAAAGCATCGTGCCAGGACATTTGACTGAGTGGGTTGTAGCCAGTGTCAACCATATTCATAATAATGATAATAATTTTATTACTTATATGTCATCCATCTGACTGGGCTGCTGCCCCCAATGAATCCCGTGGGACTGTACGGTCCTGTCTTCCACCCCCTTCCTTCTGATCCACTTGCCCTTAGAGCAGAGGACAAAACTGAATGCAGTAAGGTGAGCCAGCCGTGGGAATTTTGTTTTGTTTGAGTCACACTTGGGAAGCCCTAAACTCTTAAATCTTTTCTTGACTCGGCAGGATTCATGGTGACACAGCTTGCAGGCTGCTCTCATCAAGGCAGGTGGCTCTGCTCTCCAAATAAAAGCATGGCAATAGTGGAGGGGCTATTTTCTTCCAGATCTTAATAGGTTCCCTCTTAAGGATTTGCCTTTGAGCTTGAAGCACATCCATTTATTTCCTTGGTAATGCTTGGTAATGTAATTGTGAATTACATTATGTGAACATCCTTTCTTTGGAGATAAGGGTAGACAATTCCATCAATTTCACTTTCCCAATCTTAAATTCAGTCTTCCACATTTCCATGCCAATATGTGATTATTAATTTTAACATCCTCACAAAATTTCATTAGCATTTCAGTGTGAATTTCTGAATTTTGCAAGCAATTTCTTCTAAAATAAAGCAGTTTTGTAGGTTGTTTTGACCAGTATCACTTATACGCACAGTTTCTCCTGATATACATATTTTTGCACTCATTTATTTGGTTGGAGAACAGCACTGCAAAATTCAGAGAAGGTCAAATGTCAAACCGTATATAAATATTGTGATAATATGGAAAACGTCGTCTTAATAAGATTAATAAAAGGAAAGGGGAGGGTGAAAAATAGGAGCCTTTCCAAACTGGATATTTCAAAACAGATCTTATGTTGGCTATTATTTCATTCCAGTATCTCTCTCATTCATTCAACCACCATTAACAGACACAGCTTTACGTAAGATAAGAAGAGGAGAAAAGAGAGTCCTGTTCCAAGGAATTAACAGTCCCACAGGATTCTTTGGGTAAAGCCGTTCCAGTGTCAACGTATAAAACTGAAAATAAGTTACTTTTGTATTTAGATACAGCCTGTGGGTAGGCTCACTTCAAATTCATTTGACAACGCCTGCTTCGACCAATTGTTGTTTGCCTTAGTTGCCTTAGTTATGCTGTATAATTTTAGAACATGTTCATGTATGATTTCAAGGGGACCTTGAGCAAGGTTAGGCCAGTGGGGCCATGGCCCCAGGTGCAGATTTTTGAGGGGGCGCAAAGGAGGGACCCCCAGCAGGGTCCCCCAGAGCTCCTGGCCTGGCACTCTTTCCCTGGTGTTGGAGGAACCGGAGTGGGGTCGTGCTGGAGGCAAGGGCTGGGGTATCACGGTGGAATCCTTCCCCCATTGCACCCCGTGCCCTATCATGCACGTACACCCACCCCACCCTGGTGCACACGCACACCCATCTGACATGCGTGTGTGGAACCTGAAAGGCTGAGAAGGACCTCAGGAACCCAAGATGGCTTGTGCCAGACTCTGAACAGAGAAGGGAAAGAGGACTCTGGCAAAAAGGCTGTTGTGAAAATGACAAGTTGCAAGGGAATCGTGGCCACGTCCCCTAATTTACAGTCTATTTGAAGGAGCCCTCAATTTCAAGAGCCATTCAGCCTAGGAGAATGAGAACTCACGAATTCCTGTGAACCTTGGAGTCTTCTAGTCTCCTCCTTTCAGTTTCTTCCCTGGCCTCCTTAACTCTCCAAACCATTGCTGTCCCAGGCAACACATTATTTACATTTTGACTTCTCCACCCAAACCTGATTTCACTCCCCTCATGCCTATCTGCATTTCTAATCACCTTCCAGTCTCCCTCTCTCTCTCTCTCTCTCTTTTTGGCCTTAAGTTCCCCTCCTCCCCTCCTCTGCCATCCTCTATCACTGTGCATCACTCACACGCTGCCCCAGCTCACTGAGTTTTTCCCATCTCCCGCCACTTCTATAGATTTAACGAGAACGGTGACATGGGATGCTGGGGGTGTGCACAACCTAGTTTCCAACTCTTGCTGGCATTCTTATCCATGGCTGCAGGAGTTCAGGCAAGATAAGGCATCAATTAGTGCTTGTTATTTATTGTTTTAAGAGCAATCAATCTGTTGCCTTGCCTACCAGAACCATTCTCTCTCTCCTGGCTTTCTTTCTCCAGCAGAGCCAGGAGAGGCTGCTCAAGGAAAACAGATTCGGTGATTCATTTGCACCTCCATGTGGAGAATCCAGGGGCCCTCTGAAATATCCTCCTCGCTGTGTTATTTCCCACCATTTCAGCACTTTTACTTTTGTGATCTTTGTGAGGGGTGGTTTACTTATAAGCCCCCCAGGACCAGCCCACGGCATTTGGGTACCTGAGGTGAACCACAAAATGGCACACACAACCCCTAACAAGGAAGAAGGGGTGAGCGAAGACCTACATTATCAGGAGTGTGTGCAGGAGCCAGGCCCTGTGACTGGTAGGGCTTTGCAGGACTGGGACTTTCCTAAGTTTGTTCTGAAGAGGCAAGGTGCAGCCGCACGGGTGAGGCAAATTGGTAACTCACAGAACCTGGTGGCAAAGGCCAGGAAGGGATATAAGGCTAGCATTTCCCTTTCACTCTTTGCCACAGCAACACGCTTCCTGCCTTGCTGTGTTTGGCTTCTTGACCCCTGGTTTCCTGACCCTCGGACCCTTAGCTTCTTGACTCCCGGCTCTCTGACCCTTGGACCCTTGGCTTCCTGACTCCTGGCCTCCGAACTCCCGTTCCTGCTCCCACACTGCCGTCTTGCCCCTGGTCCCAATGTCCTCCGCCAGGACTTCGACCGCCCGTAAACCACACCATGAGGAACATGGCAGGAATAAAGATCTACATCAGGAACAAGGGGGGAGGAGACCAATTGTGCCTCCTGTTCTCCAAGAGGCTGTTTCAGAGGCAGCATTGTGGAGAGTGGCTGCCAAGGAGGCAGCAGAACTGGACTCCAAGGAGTGCACAGCAGTTCTTGTTACCACAGTGGCAGCCGTGGGCAATGCATTCCTTGGAGGCCGGAACTGCTGCCCCTGTGGAGACTGCCACCCAAGGTGGTTGCCTTGCCTTGCCCCGTGGGTTGGCCGGCCCTGTCTTGCCCTGAGGAACATGCAGTCTAAAGTTGGGTAGTGTTGTAATTTTTTTGTGTGCGACTGGGGAGACAACAGAGAGAGATTGGGGGGAAGAAGTCAAAAGGCTATCAAGGGATGAATGTTGCCCTTGGTGGCATTACAGCAGCAGAGAGACTGCAGGAACCATCAAGGAATAAACCTTTCTACCTTCCTTGCCCTGCTCTTCTTGCCTGGGAGCTGCTCCCAAAGTATTTACTTTTGCTCTCTGTGACTTTTTTGTGGGGATAGGCCTTTGTTTGGCAGAAACAGTTACAAATGTTAAGATTTCATTGTCTCAAATTCTTATAAGTTGTGCTGTACAGTGGTACCTTTGGTTACAGATGCTTCAGGTCACAGACTGCGCTAACGCAGAAATATTACCTCAGGTTAAGAACTTTGCTTCAGGATAAGAACAGAAATCGTGCGGTGGCAGTGGGAGGCCCCATTAGCTAAAGTGGTGCTTCAGGTTAAGAACAGTTTCAGGTTAAGAACAGACCTCCAGAACGAATTAAGTTCTTAACCTGAGGTACCACTGTATTTGAATTTTGCATTTGTATGTTATTTCGCATGAGCTGCCTTGAGGTGCCTCTTTTGGTTGAAAAGTGGCATATAAATAAACAGTAGCATAACTTGCATGTACCTGGGCTTCATTTCAGGCGGGGGTAAGCACTAAGGGGTTAAGGCTGAAGGAGGGGTGGGATTTGAGCTCAGGTGGGAGTCTGAATGAGTGGTGGCACAATGAGGTGATCCACAAGGCAAGGATTGACCTGCAATGCTAAGTGCTCAGAAGAAGAGTCGAAGCTCAGAGGTAGAGAACCTGCTTTGCATGCAGATGGTCCCATGTTCAATGCCTGGCATCTCCAGGTAGAAACCCCCATCTGCAGTGCTGGAGAACTGCTGCAAATCAGTGTGGACAATGCTAAGCTAAGATGGACCAATGGTCTGACTCAAGGCTTATCCATGCTTACCATTTGCCTAGCTTTTTCCAGACAGATACCTGCACTTCAATGCAGATTTCCACCCCCCTGCCTCCAAGTTTTCCCCCAAAAAACCCACTCTTTAAAGCTGAATTGGAGCAAATGTCAATTTAGGTTTCCTGCAGTTTGATATTTCCTCCGATTCAGCTTTAAAGAGCAGGTTTTCATGGGGAAAGCTCCAGAACAAAAAAAAAGAAAACAAAAAAGGTGGGGTGCTCAAACACAGAGCTTTTAATCATGGACCATCCCTGGAAAGCATGGGTGAGAGTTAAGTGTGGATAAGCCCTCAGTAGAGGGCAACTTCCTATGTTCCTCTTACAAGGAGGCCACAAAGTAGTGGAAAAAGATTTAGGAGGCAATTCATAAAATCTATCCGTGCCAGATTGCCAGCCAGGAAAGGGTATGTAGCCAAAATCTTTTTGGCATATGCACTTTCAGAAAGGAAACAAACTTATGTCCCAGGAACCCCATCTGCCTCGTGTTGTCCCTTTCATTCTTTCCAGCAGGAGCCCTTATCCCAATATTTCTTCAGACAGGTCTAATTCTCCCTCTGAGCTTGGTCCTCATATGGCTATTTATTTTTCTGCTGTGGGCTTGTCCCCCTCACTAGGAAGGGTGAAATAAAGGGCAGATAATTTTCCAGCCCAGATAAACCAAGTTTTCCCCATTCACACCCATTCTTCTGTCTAGTCTGGCAAGTGGGTTCGAGAAGACAGTGGCAATGTTGCTCTTATTCTTTGGAAATTCAAGGCCTCATCAAAGATCAAGTCAACCATTGACTCATCAGAGCAATAACAACAAAGCATAAGGAGGTAAACCTCTGTGGCCAAGGCCCCTCGAAAATATTCCACATTTACAGACAAACTCAGAGGACTATCAGCCAAACAGTGAAGGACACAATACCTGCCCATCTCCAGATTTGAGAAGATGTATATTTTAAAGATACATAGAGAGGAAAATCTGCCAAGTTCAGCATTTCCTGCCATTAGCAAGAAAAAAAGCCAAACCAGGTGAAAATGTCACTTATACGAATAGATGCTTGCATGCAGAGAATCATTATGCACACTTAATGCTTTCCATGGAGAACTGATCTATCATTATAGCTAAATGAAGCATCCATTAGGGTACTGATTCAAATGTTCCTGCAGTGGAACATTGTGTAGATTAGCGTGTCAGGGGGAAACCCATCCCAAAGGTGGGGAGTGTAACGGTGTTTGGATGTGGGGGGGTTGCCAGCCTTGTAAAGGAAAGGGAGGCTAGAAATCTTGCAACAATACAAGGTGATCTGATGACCTTTCATCCTTTAAAAAACAAAAACTTTGCAAGCGCTTCTTTAAAGGTAAATGCCACATTGGGTGCCTAAGAATACTTGACATGTACTTTTGAAATGGGGCTTGAGGGAATATAGTGTGGTGCGTCAAACATGAAGCATTGTCAGAAAGCTGCTCCAGCACATTTGAAGACCACCAGCAGCACCTGTCCTGCTCCACTTTAAACCATTTTGTTCTGGTGATCCAAAGAGGAACACTGCTGCTGTGACAAGGGGAACCATGGACAACTGAGAGCCTTTCACCCTCCAGCAGGCAGGGGGCGCTGAAGGTCTCTTCCAACTTGCAGCTTGCCCTGCCTCTTGTTGGAAGCAGGCAATTGACTAGAAATGGGGGGAGGGAATGAATAAGACAAATAATAAATGTTGGAAATGTAAAGAAAAAGAAGGAACAGGTTATCATATGTGGTGGGAATGTAAGAAAGTAAAGAACTTCTGGGAAATGATATATAACGAGATGAAAACAATGTTGAAATATACATTTAGTAAAAAACCAGAAGCATTTTTACTTGGTATTATAGGTCAGGATATTCATAGGCAAGATCTTAAATTGTTTTTATATGCAACAACGGCGGCAAGAGTATTGTTAGCCCAGAAATGGAAGCAAGAAGAAATCCCGACAAAAGAAGAATGGCAGACGGAATTAATGGACTATGCAGAATTGGACAAAATGACATGAAAGATTCGAAACCTGCGGGACCAGAGATTTACAGAAGATTGGAAGAAGTATATGAACTATTTGAAGAGCAATTGTAACCAACAAATTACGCTAGTAGGACTACAAGAAGTTTTGTAAGGAGAAATATATGAAATGTTACAAACTAGATAAAGAATAGAGATATTGGTTATGAGATTTAAATGTAATAGGGAAAGTAAGAAATGTATACTAAGAGATTAGATTGGAAAATTTTGAGACAGGATTGATGGAAGTCAAAAAATTGTATAAGATGTAAAAGTATGTTTAATTACTGTGGAAAGTGGTATGTTAACACACACACACACACACACACACACACACACACACATATATAAAAAGAAATGGGGGAAAATGCAATAAGTACTGGAGAATTTCTTCCACAAAGCTGCAGGGTTCGAATTCCCACTCAGCCACTGTGTGACCTTGGGCCAGTCACTGTCTCTTACCCACTTCACAGGGTTGTGGGGAGGATAAAATGTGGAAGGAAGGGAACTATGCATGCCACCTGGAGCTCCTTGGAGGAAAAGTGGAATATAAATAAAATGGATTAATTGATTGATTGATTGATTGATTGATGATATAGGATGCGGCCTTGGGTTCCCAACCCCAATTCATACATTGATAGACTCATATAATTGCAGAGTTAGAAGGGACCCCAAGCGACATCTAGTTCAACCCCCTGCAATGCAGGAATCTCAACTAAAGCATCCATGGACTCATCTAAACCGATAAAGAAAAAGTGATTTATATGCATTGGATGTGCGAAATAACATTGTGCCACCAGATGGCGACGCGGAGTCCCTTTTTCCCCTCTACGTGTTTTCCCTGTTTAAACTGACAACGCTTTAAACTGAAACGCTTATTCAATGTGTCTCGATCCAGCCCGCGACACATGGCCATCCAACCTCTGCTTAAAAAAGCTTCAAGGAAGGAGAATCTACAACCTCCCGAGGGAGACCATTCCACTGTCAAACAGCTCTTATTGTGAAAACCACTTAAAGGAAGGGACATATATTGGCTGCGATCTCCACACCTCTCACCAAGGCTCTGTACATGGACTTTTTTGTGTGTGCCAAACACTTTCTGGAGGAAGAGTAATCAGGCAAGTGGGGGATCATGTTGAGCACCCAACTCAGGAATAATTATAACCCGCCCATCTGGCTGAATTTCCCCAGCCACTCTGGGCAGCTCCCAACAGAGTATTAAAACCATGATAAAACATTAAACATTAAAAACTTCCCTAAATAGGGCTACCTTCAGATGTCTTCTAAAAGTTAGATAGTTGTTTATTTCCTTGACATCAGATGGGAGGGTGTTCCACAGGGCGGGCGCCACTACCGAGAAGGCCCTCTGCCTGGTTCCCTGTAACTTTGCTTCTCGCAGGGAGGGTACCGCCAGAAGGCCCTCGGCACTGGACCTCAGTGTCTGTGCTGAACGATGGGCATGGAGATGCTCCTTCAGGTATACTGGACCAAGGCCATTTAGGGTTTTAAAGATCAGCACCAACACTTTGAATTGTGCTCAGAAACGTACTGGGAGCCAACGTAGGTCTTTCAGGACCGATGTTATGTGGTCTCGGCAGCCACTCCCAGTCACCAGTCTAGCTGCTGCATTCTGGATTAATGGCAGTTTCAGGGTCACCTTCAAAGGCAGCCCCACGCAGAGCGCAGTCCAAGTGGGAGATAACTAGAGCATGCACCACTCTGGCAAGACAGTCTGTGGGCAGGTAGTGGAGGACCTGTGGCCCTCCAGAAGTTGCTGAGCAGCAACTCCCATCATACGTAGCTGAACATTGGCCATTCTGGCCGGGGCTGCTGGAAGTTGGGAGTCCAACAGCATCTGCAGTGCAACAAGTTCTGCAGAGCAACTCTGACCTCCCTAGACCTGCCTTTCCTCCATGCAGAGACAGTGTATCTGGCAGGATCTGAGAACAATCAGAATATATTTCAAGGTACGTAATTTTCCATGACATTTGTACACCCCCCATGCTAAAAAGCAAAAAAGCAATTACAACTCAATGTTCTTCAGGCAGTAATGAATAATCCTCTCCAAAACTAAACAAGGCGGGACTGAACGAAGAATGACGAGAACGAGCAGCGTCTCAGAGGATCTGCAGCAAAAACCGAGCTGTCATAACTGATGATATAGTTCACAGTTTCTTATTCTCTGGCATGGCAGCACGATGAGGCTTGAATCAGAGCTCAACATCATTTCACTAATGGAGTTGTAATATCCCTGAGCTCAGATATCTAGCTCTGTTCAAACATTAACAATAAGAACATAAGGACTGCCTTCCTGGATCAAGCCAAGATCCATTTAGTTCAGAATTGTTTGCCCCCCTGCAGCAACTGGCCAGATACCTAAGGAAATGTAGAAGCAGAGCTTGCAAATAACTATACCTGGTCTATTTTTGTCCCCAAAATCATTACCTCTTATCATTAAATTTGAAGCAGAGAATAGCAGCTAGCTAGTTAAATGCGGGACGCGGGTGGTGCTGTGGGTTAAACCACAGAGCCTAGGACTTGCCGATCAGAAGGTCGGCAGTTTGAATCCCCGCAATGGGGTGAGCTCCCATTGCTCAATCCCTGCTCCTGCCAACCTAGCAGTTCGAAAGCACACAGTGCAAGTAGATAAATAGGTACCACTCCAGCGGGAAGGTAAATGGCATTTCCGTGCACTGCTCTGGTTCGCCAGAAGTGGCTTAGTCATGCTGGCCACATGACCCGGAAGCTGTAAGCCGGCTCCCTTGGCTAGTAAAGCGAGATGAGTGCCACAACCCCAGAGTCGGTCACGACTAGACCTAATGGTCAGGGGTCCCTCTACCTTTACCTAGAAGTTAGTTATATATGTGAAAATAGTCAG